AAAGTTGGAAAAGCAAAGCATGTTCCAGAACTGTCTTTAATGAAAACATCCGATAGCAAAAACATCCAATCGCATCAATGAAATTGGCCAAGAAAATAATATCCAAAATTAAAGTCAATTTAACCAAAAATAATAATATCAATTAAATTTTTAGGTTCGCTAATTAAACTTACCAATTTGAGAGCCTTTTTTATTAATCACCAAGCAACCGGTATCGATTTCTCCAACAAAATTGATGTTTGTAAAAGGAAAGAGAAAAATTGTACATCAATCTGTATCGATAACATCAATCGCAATCGGAGATCGTAATTGGCGAAGAAGAAATCGGATACCTTTGGCGAAGAAGATTATTGTAACTGGCAAAGAAGAAGGCCGCAAGAAGTTTGGATTCGCTGAAGTGAAAAAAACCCTAGAGATTTGGCGAAGAAGAGGGCTGCGTGAAGATCCTGTTGCCCCGAAGAAGTGAAAAAACCTAGAGAAGACGCGTGTAAACATTAATTAAGTGTCAAAAAATTCAGCCTTATAAAATGCCACATGTCAGTTTTCTACACGTTCAACTCTCAAATTTTATATTAAAGGATTTATTTAAATTATGTCAAACAAAGTTGATGGCAATTTGAAAGTAGTTAAAGAATACCAAAAACCATGATATTAAGCCCTTCACACTGCAATAAGGAAGTTCTTATCGTTCAAAATAATCCATATATTTAACCATGGTAGATCTTCAAAGTCGCTTGATGCAATATTCAAAATCTCAGTGATGGTTCTTAGCTGAGCCCAAACTATGACTGTATCCATGATAGACCTCTCAACCACGAGTGTTTTTATAATGTTAGAATCACACAATACACAGTAAATTGTCAGTGGGTAGTGTTACCGGCCAACTTGTAATTTACATGATTTTGATGAAGTGCTCATATGCAGGGAGAGAAATCAGCTCATGCGGTGCATAAATGTGATAGGTATGTGAAAACTTTCTGCCCACCCCATCCTCATTTTATTAACCTTCCATTTCCTCCATTTAAAGTTTACCATTTGACATATAAATTTCTCCTAGATTTCTTACAAACAGAACTAACAAAATTTTTCCATCGTTATATCACAACAAAAGACTTAAGCAATTATTAGCTAATTCATTTCAAGAGAAAGCAATAGTTACGTAAGCACCAAATATAATACATTTTCGTATTATTAAAAAAACTAAAGATTTGATCTTTCATATTAAAATATTACAACCTATATTTCCTTGTTGTTTTTTTATGTCAATAAAACATATATTATATTTTTTTTATTATAGGCAAATGCGCACCACATAAGCAGACATTAGAGATAGAGTAAATTCTATAATTGGTCCTTTATAACATGGGGGTTTCCCTATTTAGTCCTCTATTATCAAATATTATCCAAGTGGTCCTTCTTTTATGGGTACCTTTCCACAAATAGTCCTTTTTTGATCTTCTATCATGTTGGTGTTAATTTGAGGGCTAAAAGTGTAATTTCACAATGATAATATATCTTTTTTGTTATACACAATTCCAAAGGCTATTCCGTTTGTGTCGTTTGTGATAGTCTACAAATGTGATCTTTCGTCAGAATCCTAGCCCACAATCATAGTCATTATTTTTGTGTTATCCGCTTAACCAATATCAGAACACGTCACTAGACATAATGTTGATGTCAAATTATACTTTTAGTCTTTAAATTAACACCAACACGGCAGAAGATCAAAAAAAGGACCATTTGTAGAAAGGTACCCTTAAAAAAAAAAACTACAGGGGTAATATTTGATAATAAAGCACTAAATATGGAAACCCTCATGTTATAAAGGACCAATTATGGAATTTACTCTTAGAGATATGGTCGAAATTACAATCAAATAAAAAATTGGGGGGTTATCATCTTGCTAAAAAAGTAACAAAAAACTTCATACTCGGTGTAATACTTCATAAGAAACATTTCTAGTGTGTAGACAGTCTAGACACATAGACAAATAAGGTGTGACCAAAATATTAAAACAAATTACATTATAAGAATACATAGATGGCCCTAGTGTTGTCGCAGAACAACGGGATTGGGTCATTAATACAAGGAACCACTCCAAATTCAGATATGAACTTCTTTATTCAAACACCTTCCTTTGCTGCTTCAGCAGCAGCCATGTACTCAGTCTCTATAGTTGAATCGGCGGTTGTGTCCTGTTTAGAACTCTTCCAGCTAAAAGCTCCGCCATTCAGGCAAAACACATACCCTGCTTGTGACTTTTAATTGTCTCGATCGGTTTGGAAGCTCGCATTAGTGTAACCGATCACTTTCAGCTCTTCCTACCTCCATATACCAGGAATGCATCCTTAGTATTCCAAAGATACTTTAGGATGTTCTTGACCGCTTCTAGTGTGCTTCACCTGGATTCCCTGGTATATGCTGGTCACGCTTAAAGCGAATGAGACATCAGGTCTAGTACATATCATGGCATACATGATGGAACCAATTGCAGAAGAATATGGGACCTTGATCATGAGTTCCTTTTGCTCGGGAGTAAAAGGACTCTGGCTTTTGGAAAGAGCCGTGCCAGGTAACATAGGTAAGGATCCCTTTTTCGAGTTAGACATGCTAAATCGATAAAGGACCTTATCTATATATGTACTTTGACATAGACCTATCAACTTTCTTGACCTATCATGGTAGATTCTTATGCCAAGGGCCTAACTAGCATTCCCCAAGTCCTTCATGGCAAAGTTCTCGCTCAACTAAGTCTTTACAGATGTAAGAGCAAGAACATCATTACCCATTAACAATATGTCATCGAAATATAGGATTAGAAATACTATCACACTCCCACTGACCTTCTTGTAAACACAAGACTCATCAGAATTCTTCTCGAAACCAAAACTAGTGATGGTTTCATCAAAGCGTATATACCAACTCTGAGATGCTTGTTTCAATCCGTAAATTGAACGTTGCAGCTTACAGACTTTGGCAAATTTACCAGCAATTGTAAAACCATCAGACTGTGTCATATAGACATCCTCTTTGAGGTTCCAGTTAAGGAAAGTCGTCGTGACGTCCATCTGCCAAATCTCGTAATCGTAGAATGCTGCAATCGCAAGCATTATCCGAATGGACTTCAGCATCACAACTGGAGAAAAGGTTTTGTCAAAGTCAATTCCATGGATTTGTCTATAACCCTTTGCTACCAATCTAGCTTTGAAGGTATGACCCTTCCCATCTACGTCGGTTTTCTTTTTGAAAATCCACTTGCACCCTAGGGGTTTTATCCCTTTGGGCACATCAACCAACGTCCTGACTTGGTTTGTGTACATAGACTCCATTTCGGATTTCATGGCATTAAGCCATTCTTCGGATTCGGGGCACGTGATGGCCTCGAGGTAGGTCTCAGGTTCGCCTTGGTCTACCAGCAAGACGTCACCTTCATCAGATACAAGGAACCCGTATCTAACCGGAGGATTATGCATCCGGTGTGACCTCGTGGTAAAACCTGAGCTGGTCGAGATACTAAATCTTGACGCTCGGGATTCACTGCTATTGAGATCTCATCTTGTGGTTCTCGAATTGCTTCGAGGTCTACCTTTCTCCCACTGGAAATAGCAGAGAGAAACTCCTTCTCAAGGAAGGTTCTGTTCCGAGCAACAAAGATTTTGTTATCGGTCGGATGATAGAACTCATACTCTTTCATTTCCTTGGGGTATCCCATAAATTTACACCTGTCAGATTTGGAATCCACCTTACCAAACGTCATGAGGCGTCTAACGTAAACATCACAACCCCAAATCCTCAAGTATGACAAATTCGGTTTTGTCCCCCGCCATAGTTCGTATGTTGTGCTCACAACAGCTTTAGATGGTATGCGATTGAGTGTGTGTGCTCCTGCTGTTCATAGTTCTTTTGCCCAAAAGGACTCTAGCAGTGTCGTCAGACTCATCATACTCCGAACCATATCGAGTAAGGTTCGGTTCCTCCTTTCTGAAACTCCATTTAATTGGGGTGTGCCAGGAGGAGTGAGCTGGGATAGAATCCCGTGCTCTCGTAGCTAGTCATCAAACTCTAGACTCAAGTACTCACCTCCACGATCCGAACGGAGTGTCTTGATACTTTTTCCTAATTGTTTCTCTACTTCGTTTCTGAATTCTTTGAATTTGTCAAAGCATTCTGATTTGTGTCTTAAAAGATACACATATCCATACCGACTGAGATCGTCGGTAAATGTGACGAAGTATGAGAAACCACCTCTAGCTTCAGTGTTGATTGGGCCACACACATAAGAGTGTATGAGGCCTAATACATCACTCGCCCTTCACCGTGACCGGTGAATGGAGCCTTCGTCATTTTACAGAGTAAACAAGATTGGCATACATCATAAGACTCAAGGCTCGAATGAATCAAGAACGCCAAAGTGACGTAACTTAGATATGTGTTTCTCGTTAATGTGGCCCAAATGACAATGCCATAGGTACGTGATATTCAAACCATTAGGTTTGTTTGTGATGGATACCCGGGAATGGGGGTATCCGGCCCAACGAAAAGCGCCCAGCCCAGCTTTGCTAAGGCCCACTTAGCCGGACCAAAGCAGGAATAAACGAAGGACCAAGGAAGACCACCCCGGCAGCGGTACACGCTCGGCCTCGGCCGGGTCAGCCATCCTCAGACCACCCCCGGCCGGCCTTCCGCCAAGAGACTTCCGAAGATGGGTCGTACGCTCGACCTCGGTCCTGGGCAACGACAGACCAGACCTGGACAAGGAAGCTGGCTATATAGTCAAGATGAAGGGGCCCACGATTAGACCCCTGCCATACCTCTAGCAGAGTTGCTCTAGCCACCCTATTTTTAACCTACTTTGTATAGAAATCCTAGGGATAATGATGTGGTTGGACGCCGCCAGTGAACAACCCAATCTTAGTGGGCCCAGACCGTTGGACTCTGGACCAATGGTCGGAACCCTACGTTGTAATCTGCATATAAACCCTTTCCCTTCTAAAGGAAGGGGGACTTACGTTCTAACTAGCACAATAACACTCTCAGTTTGCTTGACCCCAAATTTTGTGCACTCTCGACTTGGTTCGATACTCTTACGCCTAGTTTCCTAGGCCCCCGGGTTCCTTAACCCAACATTGGTGCTCTCGTTGAGAGTGTCGAACACATCAAGCGTGCTCCCAAATATTATTGCGTCGAGAAGGGTAACTAGTTCATCTATCGCCAACGCCGGTGGTGGTCTCAGGATGACCTTCACGGCGCCGATCGGCGCAGGTCATGACTATTTGGACGTTAGCCTCAACGACGTCACTAGCCAGAACACCACTGATCTACGCCACCGCATTCCCAGGCGGCGAACGACGAATGCTGGGGGGTCTCAAGCACCTATGCCCACCCACGGCGACGGCGTTCTGACTCAACCTTCTCCCAACGGGCTCGTGTGTGGGGGAGGCATGATGTTGCCTGGTGACTTTCGGTGCGAGGACCCCAGGCCTAGACCCCAGCGGTTTTTGGGCCATGATGAGGGCGATGATGTTCAATCAACCCATGACTGGTTTCCATATGCCAGTCACAGTGCCGACGTTCCAACCTGAAGGACGTCGCAAAGTTCAGTAGAACCTAGTGGAAAGCGCGTAACTTTTCACCCAACACCTGAAGAATCTGATGACGGACTCTCGCGTGAACCCTTCGGCGGGAGAACCTGAGAACAAGGAGTTGAGCCGCTCCTAGCAGCGGGACAACGACAAGGCCCCGGAGCGTAGGGCCAACAAGAAGCTAGCTAGCCGGCGAGACAAGGATACGGCAAGTAAGCGGCATGAACCCCTAAAGGAAGGGCAAGGCGAGAGTGAATCACACGTGTCCGTGTTTAGCCGGATGCGGGTGTCGGCAACAGAACGATTACATGGCCGACGAAATGCTTTCATGCAGGACGGAGTAGGGAAAATCAGGATGCCCTGCGAGGAACAGTGTGACCGACACAGAGAAGTCCATCCGGAAAGGCCGAATTCCCAGATCAGGCAACCCATCCAGCATCCGATCCTGAGAGCGCCGCAGGGGGCACCCGACGCGGTGGATGGGGGCGCAGGCAGGTCGGGGGATGAACGCCTCGAATTTCTCTTACAAAGGCTTGACGCCTTAGAGAAAAGAAGCGGGCCTGGGCACGTGACCGAACCTATGTTCAGACTCCGTTCTCCTTTCTCGGAGAGGATTCTGAGGGCAACTTTGCCGAATAGCTTCCAAATGCCACCAATACCGAGGTATGACGGAACTGCCGACCCACAGGAGCATTTCAACCGATACCAAACCCTCATGAACGTGGTGACGTTCTCCAAAGAGGTCCTTTTCAGATCGTTCCCTACCACCCTCGACGGGCTAGCATCAGAATAGTTCAACGAGCTGCCCGAAGGGAAGATCGATTCCTGGGAAGATTTGGCGCAGAGGTTTCTAGTACACTTCGCCGGCAACAGGAAGAAGAAGCTGCATTTTTCACACCTCTTGTCAGTCAGACAGAGGCCGGACGAGCCATTGAGGGAGTTCCTGGCGAGGTGGAAGTTGGAAACCACCAGAGTCTACGGAGCAGATGACAAAACCAGGTTGTCCACTTTTCATATGGTCCTACGATCGGGTGACTCCTTGAAGCGCTTAGCTTTGGAGAAGCCGAGGGAGTATGTCATCGCGCTAGCCATGGTAGAGGACGAAGCCGAAGCAGAGGAATTGGAAGAAAACAAGAAGAAAGAGGAGGCAGGAAGGCTAGGGACCACGGTGGCAGCGGCGAGGCCCCCAGCGAGGAAGGTCACCATCGACGAGAGGTCACATTTGCCGGCTGGACTTTGTTTCCGGAAGGGCAGAGACCAGCGGGACCGACGGTCTTTCGGAAAGGACGTATACAAGGAAGGGGTGGATGACAGGAAGCCCTATCCCCCCAGAGGTCCTAAGCTGATATTTCTAGATGAGCTCACACCTCTAACACACCCCGTCAGCGCCATCCTGGATTTCGCCGAGCATCAAGGCTTGGTGGAGTATGACCCGAGATTTCCTCCAATTTGCACTGTGGGTGACGGTCCTTACTGCAGGTTGCACAAAGCAGCCGGCCATGACACGGACGCATGTAAAGTCCTCAAGAGAGAGATCGAGAACTTGATCCAGGCCGGATACTTGAGGCAGTTCATCAAAAAGAAGAACACATGGCGCAAAGACGATGGAAAGAAAAATGTGGACAACCGAGGGAAGAACCCGGCGGGAACCCAGCAGAAGAAGAGGAAGGAGATAGGCCTTCCGAGTGACGAGGAAGAAGAAGCTAACCCTAGGCAGAAGAGGGTTGAAGAGAACCGAATGATCTACGGTGGTAACACCGGAGGGGATAGTGCCGAGCAGAGGAAGAAGTTGGTGCACTCGGCCTACGTCGGGGACCTTTGCAGCGCACCTGGACCGTCAAAGGTCACGAAGACAGAGCCCCTCCTATTCGGTCCCAAGGACCTACCTGAGATCCCATCCCCACACAGAGAAGCCCTGGTCGTTAAGTGCGAGATCAACGAGGTGGTAATTCACCGTTCTTACATTGACAATGGGAGCTCGGTCAACATCATGTATGTGAAGACATTTGATGAGTTGGGATTGAAGAAAGAGCTTTTGCGAAGAGTAAGGACCCCCTTGTCCGGGTTCACAGGAGACATCATCGATTCAGAAGGCCTGATCGAGGTGATGGTCACTTTCGGTGATGGGGAGCACAAGAGGACTATACCGGTCGAGTTCATGGTGGTGCGACTCCTTGGATCCCACAACTTGATTCTGGGTCGGCTTGCACTGGAGGACCTCGATTCCGTAACGTCTGTGAAATACCTATGCATGTAGTTCCCAACTGTTTCGGGAGTGGGAGTGTGTAGAGGAAACCAGAGGATCGCCCGGCTCTGCTACCAAAAGCAAACAAAGAAGATGGATGCCCAGGATCTGAGGGTAGACAGCATTGCCACAACACTTTTGAAGGAGGAAGAAGGACGTCCTCGGGCCGAGCCGGCTGAGGAGACAGAAGATGTGGTGATCATGGAAGATCAACAGGAGAAGAAGATCAAACTCGATATCAACATCGGTGCCGAGCTTCGGTCAAAAATCATTCAGGTGCTCAAGGAAAATTTCGTGGTGTTCGCTTGGAGCGTCGAGGACATGCCCGGAGTTAGCAAGTCCTTGATCACCCACCGCCTCGCGGTGGGACCGGATGCAGAGCCCGTAAAGCAGAGAAGGCGGCACCTGAGCAAAGACCAGAGGGATTTCATGAAGAAAGAGGTGGACATGCTTCAAGCAGCGGGGCATGTCAAGGAGATCAAATACCCCACCTGGCTGGCCAACGTCGTGCTGACGCCGAAGGGGCAGACGTTCAGGATGTGTGTGGATTACACTGATCTGAACCGAGCTTGTCCTATGGACCCCTTCCCCTTGCCCAACATCGATCAGATGATCGACGAGACGGTCGGGTGCGAGGTAATGTCTTTCGTGGATGCATTCAGAGGATATCACCAGGTGTTCATGCACGAGGAGGATGCCGAGAAGACGGTATTCCTCACCCTGGAGGGGGTGTATTGCTATTTGGTGATGGAGTTCGGCCTGAAGAACAGCGGGGCCACATACACAAGGATGGTCAGCCGAGTGTTCCACTCGGTCTTGGGAAAGACGATGGCCGCGTACGTGGACGACATGATCGCCAAGAGCAAGCCTACTTCCGACCATGCGGAGGACCTCAAAAAATGTACATTTGGTGTAGAAGGTGGCAGATTCCTGGGTTATCTCGTCATCCGACGAGGTATCGAGCCCAACCCGGAGAAGGTCAAGGCGATCCTAGATATGGAGGCCCCCCGCTCGATAAAAGAAGTGCAGCGTCTGACGGGAAAGATGATCGCGCTTGGCCGATTTTTGTCAAAATCTGCCGAGAAGAGCATCCCCTTCTTCGAAGAAGGTCCCGCAGTTCCAATGGACGCCCGAATGCCAAGCGGCGTTCAAATAATTGAAGAAGTATTTACTAACCCCGTAGGTTTTGGCGAAGCCGGTCAAGGGCGAGAAGTTGTACCTCTATTTAGGTGTCAGCCCTGGAGCTATAAGCTCTGTCTTGTTACGAGAGGAAGGAGACACTCAACGCCCCATCTATTATGTCAGCAGAACCTTGAGGGATGCCGAGCTCCGATACTCGGTGGTGGAGAAAACTGTCCTGGCCTTTGCTAACACGATCAAGAAGCTGAACCATTATTTTCAGGCCCACGAAGTGGAGGTGAGGAGTCATCAGCCTCTGAGCATCATCTTCCAGAATCTAACCGCCTCCAACAGGGTCATCAAGCGGTCTGTCTATCTGAGCCAATATCAGATAGAGATGAAGCCGAGGACAGCGATCAAGGCCCAAGCTCTGGCCGATTTCATGGTAGAATGCACAGCGCGAGACAACAACCCCACGCCCCTGGCCGAGCAGGGCGAATGGTGGACCTTGTCCACTCATGGATCATCAGCCGCGTAGGCTTGCGGTGGGGGCGTAGTAATCCAATCACCTGAAGGATTCCGTTCATACCATGCAATAAAATTCCAGTTCAAGGTATCCAACAATGAAGCAGAGTATGAGGCTTTGCTGAGCGGCTTGAGGATCATCCTCAACTTGAAGGCCGAGTACGTCACGATCAGGTGTGATTCGCGCCTGGTCGTTAGTCAGATAAAAGGAGAGTTTGACACCAAGGAAGAGTGGATGCGCCTGTACAAGGAGGCGGCCCTAGAATTGCTCAAGACCCTCAAAGGATACGAGCTGGCGCAAATTCCTAGGGCGGAGAACACTGAGGCCGACGTCCTCTCCAAGTTGAGCAACGATAGCCCTGAACACATCTCCATGATGGCTCACATCGAGGACCTGGGATCCCCAAGCATTCATGTGCAGCTCATATCTGTTATCACCGGGGAGACCGACGGCTGGATCACGGAGTTGATCCGATACAAGAAAGATGGAATCCTTCCCAGCGGCGAGACGGCGGCCCGTTTGATCAAACGCAGGGCGCCAACGTATGTCATTGACAGTTGTAGTTTTTCAGGTAGTAAACCTTCCCAGTAAAGGGTTAGTTTTCTCTCCGAGTGTCGTGTCTCTCGAGGAGTGGATGAAGGGAATTAGTTTAATTACTCTAACTAGGCGAAGATTAGGATTGGTTTATGAAAGTCTTCTCGGAACGATTATAAAAGGAGCAGAGTAAAAATAATAAATTAAGTTTACATAGTATAAGTATAGATCTGGACCTAGGGTCAGGATATCATTTGGATCTATTTTATCATATTAAATTAACAATTGGAATAATAATATTTCTATTACTACTCATCCATTTCTAGATTTGTACTTAATCCGTTGTTCTTGAATTTCGTAGCCTTTTGGCATACAATATTTTCTCAATAAATAGCTAATTAAATCTTTCGACATTAATTAACTAAATAAGGCAAGAGCAATTGACTAACCATTCCAACATCAATTTAACATAAAAAATAAACAACCAAACTAGTCCGGACCCAGAGATCCGGACCCTAACTCATACTATGCAAACATGAATTAAAACAACATTTTATTAAATAAAGAAAACTTACAACCTCCGTAAAGCGGAACAGAACAGATCTGGAGTCAAAACCTCCGGAAAATACTTCAAACTAACTACTAAAACTAATATACAAGCTAAAATGGAGACGGGATATGTAAATCCCGAAGTTGGGATGGAATGGGATGATAAAAATGAGAAGAATCGTACTGTATTTATAGGAACGAAGCCAAGGCGTCCAAGTCCAAGCATCCAGATCTGGACGTTCTTGGGCTGCAATTAAGCCAAAGCGTCCAACTCCCAAGCGTCCAACTTGGCCAAGCGTCCAAGTTGGACGCCTTGAGGCCTTGGTCCGTTGGGCTTCGCGGCTGTTTCGTGATTTTGGCCCAATTTCGCTCCGTTTTGGTCCCGAACACTGTTTTTGACCTCCCGGAAGCTCGTTCAAGCCCGAATCTTGATCCCTTGATGATTTATTCCCTTTTTCTCAAGTATTTGAACATAAAATGGATGATTTATGATAATTTCATGTGGAATCCCTTTTCATGACTCTTAGAACGAAAATGAGAGTTTTATTCATTGAAAACACATTTTATGAGATGATTAAATACTATTTACGTGCAATAACGTTTAGAATATGATGTAAATGATAAGAACGAAATGGACTTATCAGTCATTGAGAATGGCCGACTATATAAAAGATCGTACAACGGCACACTGTTGAGATGTGTTGACGAGGCCAGGGCAGAAGAGATCATGGAAAAAGTCCATGAGGGGGTATGCGCGGCACACCAAGGTCCTTTCTCCATGGCTAGACGCATAATCCTACAGGGATACTTCTGGCCGACCATGGTGAAGGACTATGCCATACGCGCTAAGCGCTGCAAAGTGTGCCAGATTTTTCAGAACATCCTTGGAAGACAAGGAACAAATTACCACCCCATCAGCTCGTCAATTCCCTTCGCTCATTGGGGGATAGATCTGATAGGTCTGATGCCGAGGGCGCCTGGCAACTTCCGATGGATCATTGTGGCCATCGATTACTTCACAAAGTGAATCGAGGCCGAGCCCCTAGTGGGAGGAACTGCAGAGCAATGTTCAAAATTTGTGAGCAACAACATACTCTTCCGATATGGTGTCCCGAAACAGATCACTACAGATAACGGGAACCAGTTCCAGGATGGAGATTTCAACGAACTCTTGCAAGGATGGAAGATAAGACACACCTACAGTTCTGTGGCTTACCCGCAAGGGAACGGCCTAGTGGAGAATGCCAATTGGACGATCATGGATGGTATCAAGAAGAGACTTGAGTCCTACAAAGGAGCATGGGTGGACCAACTCCCCAACGTACTATGGGCGTACCGCACCACTCCAAGGAGGGCGACGGGAGAGACACCGTTCTCCATGTGCTATGGCCTGGAGGCAAGGGCGCCCTCAGAAGTGTTCGTTCCAACCTGGAGGGAGGAAAACTATGAAGCTCGAGAAAACGAAGAAACCATGACGGCCGACTTCCATTTTGTTGAGGAACGTCGGGAGCGAGCTTTCCTCAGAGCAGAGAATTACCGGAGGCAGGTCAAAGTGTATTACGACCGCAAGGTCAGAGCAAGGGAATTCCGAGTAGGGGACTTAGTGCACAGAAAGAGAGAAGCTAGTCAGCCCACAAAAGGGGGAAAGTTTGCCAAAAGCTATGAAGGACCATACAAGGTCACAGCCGTGCTCAGGCCAGGCACATACAAGCTCTCCACACTTGAAGGTCGCGAACTCGGCAGGCACTGGAACACGCACAATCTTATTTCCTTCTACATGTAATACACTGAGAACCGTAACCAGTCGGCCTCGGTAGCCAAAAAAAATCTACCTAATGAAATTCTTGCTTCCACGCGAATTCAGTCTTGCTTTTACATAATTTATAGCGCTACTTAGTGTCATCGGGCTCCCACGCCACGATTTGGCCTCACGCGGTCTTTCGCTATACGCGAACAAAGTCCCTCTGTGCTCCTACACACATCACGAGAATTAGAATTTAACCGTCTTGCCACTTGACAATGCCTATTGTCAAGTGTCCCTTCAGGGGGGAGCCCATCCGCACGGCTTTACCCGGGGAATCAGCGCTCTGAACGAGACGAAGAACAATGTCCGAATGGGCACAACTTGTTATTAACACGGAGGGTAGCGCAAAGTCCTGCTTAGGACGAAACACTTGCAATCCTGCTTAGGATGTCTTCCACGACACTTAGTCCTACTGAGGACACACCTTTCGCCCCCCTGCTGAGGGTGTGAGCGCAGCAAAACCCCTTGGGGTGCAAAAAAAGAGAGAGAGAGAAGGAAATAAAAAGAAAACAAAGCATACAAGCAATTTTATTACATGAAACACGCCAGAAGGTGACAATACATTATCATTCAAGCACAAGAATGTGAAGCACTATTTCCCGAATGGTCGAAGTACACACCCATTTTTTCGGAGAAAGAAGAATCTACGGAGGATGCGTCATGATCGGTCACCAGCTTCGTTTTGAGGGTTGTGTTTGCGGTTTTCTTACTATGTGCACGGCGGAAGCCTTCGAGATAGGCACGCACGTTGGTGCCCACCTTGCGCACCAAACGGCCTGATCTCTTTGAAACCTCCGCCGTAGCAGGTTCTTGGCGGAGAGGGCCCTGAACAGATTCCTCACTCAAGGAAGGAAGATCAGGATCAACGCATTTCCCCACCGCAGTCGGAGCGGTGGCGAAGCTAGGAAAAGTAGAATCTGGCATAAGGAACGAGCATGGTGGGGTAGCCCGAATAAAGGATGTTCCTTCTTCAAGAGAAGGGGTACCGGGACTTAATGCCATATCACGAAAGGGCAAGTAAATAAACAAGCAACGCAGCGTATTTGTAAGAGAAAAGAAGGAAGAGAAGGCATTCATTGCAAAGGCAATCATTGCGTACAAAGTCAAATTTCATTATAAGGTATTTTGAAAGCTACAACATTTACTACACAACACGCCCTACATGCTACAGTAGCGACACCGGCAACATTTATTACACAGCGACACTGAGAAAGGAAAAGACCTAAGATGCTCTACCTCCCAATGGACCTCCTTTTTCCCTGGTCTTAAAACCAACAAAGCCCAGGCACCGAAGGACGTGGATGGCCCCCCTATTCTGCAAACCTCCATGGGTAGGTATACAGGGAAGGGGCATGGAAGAGATATCTAGGACGAGCCGACGGACTCTTCCGGGTGATTGTCACCCACAGGGATGGCATCTGCAGCCAGCTGAGCGACCTCAACCGGAGGCGTAGGCCGTTGAGGGACCCCGTGAAGGTAATTCAGGAGTCTTTGCAGACGTTCAATGCGCCTTTCCAACCTCTTTGCACGGTACCACCAGGAGCATGTACGCGATTCGGCGTCCTCCGACGAAGAAGGAGGGGGACGACGGACGGCCTTTGATTGAGAAGACGAAGGAACAACCTCTCTCAAGTTATTGGAAGCCATGGAAACGTTAACACAATTGACGTGAGGAGAGATGAGTTCACAGCACAAAGGGGAGGGTAAATTTATAGGCCCAAGAACGAAGGGATAAGATAGGTGAACAGTCGCGGTGGTTGGAATTGGAACTGTTTGTAGTGACACGTGGGTGAAACAGTGCGACGGTCCAGTGGTTAGGTCTGCTTACATGGGGAAGCCAAAGAGTCAGTCCCTCAAAAGGCATAATTCAAATATATTCAAATAAATAATGTCAGAAGAAAATCTATTCACTATTCACGCATGCAACGAAAGAGTAGACAAATCTTGTTCATTACAATGGAAGGCAAAACTTCGAAAATTACAAAGGAAAGCACTAAGGAAGAGTTTCTGAGGGGTTCTCTTCGCCGGCGATGTCCGCACCTTTGTCCTCTCGGCGAGGCATCCCAAAGTAATCCGGATTCTCCCCGAGCTCATCATTCAGATCAGGGTCGTGCATGTTTGGGATGTCAACCCCGGGCGGAGGGAAGGATGGATCTACTCTTCTCACTCGCCGAAGGACGAGCTGGATCCCATGGTAGACGCCGGTCTCGAGCCACTTCGGCCCCTCCTTTCCCATCTTCTTTATGCCGGCCCTGGTCTCAATCCAGCTGTCATAGTAGTCAGCAAATTTTTCCATGCATGCTTCCTTGAAGGCAGGGGGCTGAAGGAAGTCAGAGACGGCTCGCTCTTGCTCGGCAATGGCTTGGTCTCTCTCAGCAACGGCTTGCTCTTTTTCAGCAACTGCCCGATCTCGCTCCGCTTGCAGGGACCGTTGCAGGGAGACAGCCTCGGCCAGCTCAACATCCATCTCGGCTATTCGGCCCTCGGACTGGCGCAAGCGACCCTCAAGTCCGGCCATGGAAGCCGTCAGTTGGGAGGCTGACTCCTCCGACTCTCTCAGCAAGACCTGCAGCCTGACCACTTCCTCAGCCGGGACACGGAGTAGCCGCCAACTTCCTTAGCCAGGACACGGAGTAGCCCTCCCCCACGAAGCGAAGGACCTCGTCAAAATCAACATCTAACAAAAGACAACCCATATTCGTAATAGGACCCGTTGCCAGCGCGGTAACGGGTAAAGATTTCCGGGTCTTTCCCTTGATGGCCTTCGATTTTTTCCCCTTCAAAGGCGACGCCCGGGACGACGACGCCACGGTGATCGACGTGCGGAGAGGCACCGCACTCAGAACCCTAGAGTGGTCAACTCCTCCTATCATACCATCGGGGCGGAGCGAGGGATCTTGTTGGTACATCTCCTCAAAACAAACCACCGCTGGGTCAACAACGGGGATGGAAGGAGTAGAATCGGAAAACGCCATGAAAGCGGGGAAGGATGAACTAACCTCCGGGGCAAATTGAGACGACGACGGTGAGTGAGCAGAGACGGTGAGTGAAATCGACGGAGAAAGTGCGGCGCAGAAATGACAAAGGTGGAGAAGATTGGGGAAAATTTTCCACTTTTATACGACTAAGGGATCCGACCCGATTCAATAAAAAGTCATAATCACGAAGGGACGTGGCGTTCCCTTACGCGTACGATTGCGAATCGTCACGGACGGCTGACAAAGGAACAGTACAGAGACGTTGCGTCTCCCAAGCAGCGCAATCATGCTTTCAAATTTCGAAGGTGACACGTGTAAATCTTGCCAGCTAGAACACTCCCCAACCCTCATCAACACTCAAGTTGGGCACTGGGGGACTCATACACACGGCCAAGATTTTTCAAAATTCAAATTCCCAACATTTTTGGATTACTTCCATCGGCCTCGCTACGCTTGGCCAAGGAAGTAGGGGACTCATGATGGATACCCGGGAATGGGGCTATCCGGCCCAATGGAAAGCGGCCCAGCCCAGCTTCGCTAAGGCCCACTTAGCCGGACCAAAGCAGGAATAAATGAAGGACCAGGGAAGACAACCCCGGCAGCGGTACACGCTAGGCCTCGGTCGGGTCAGTCATCCTCGGACCACCCCCGGCCGGCCTTCCGCCAAGTGACTTCCGAAGACGGGTCGTACGCTCGGCCTCGGTCCTGGGAAACGACACACCAGACCTGGACAAGGAAGCTGGCTAAATAGTCAAGATGAAGGGGCCCACGATTAGACCCCTACAATACCTCTGGCAGAGTTGCTCTAGTCACCCTATTTGTAACCTACTTTGTATAGCAATCCTAGGGATAATGATGTGGTTGGACGCCGCCAGTGAACAACCCAATCTTAGTGGGCCCAGACCGTTGGACTCTGGACCAACGGTCGGAACCCTACGTTGTAATCTGCATATAAACCCTTTCCCTTCTAAAGGAAGGGGGACTTACGTTCTAACTAGCACAATAACACTCTCAGTTTGCTTGACCCCAAATTTTGTGCACTCTCGACTTGGTTCGATACTCTTCCGCCTAGTTTCCTAGGCCCCTGGGTTCCTTAACCCAACAGTTTGTCTTAACATCTACGTTATATACAGGGGCATCTAAGTCTAACACATATAGCCCATTGGTCATTCGAGCAGGTGCATAAAACATATCATTTCTAAAAACATTCAAACATTTGTCTTTTACAACAATGGAATATCCTGCTTTGTCAAGGCAGAAGACAGAAATAATATTCCTGCTAATTGCAGGCATAGACAAAACATTGTTTCATTGCAACATAAGACCACTAGGAAGAGGTAAGTTATAGGTTCCAACGGCCAACGCATTGACAACTGCTCCATTGCCGACTCTAAATTGAACCTCTCCCTTTGTACACTGCTCACCTCATGCAGATCCTGCACAGAAGTACAGATGTGAGAACCACATCCACTGTCAATCACCCAAGCGGTGAAATCAGACATGTTGACTTCAATAACATAAATACCTGAGGTGACAGGCTGTTTTCCCGCTTTCCTCTCTGCCACAAGCTTTGCACAATTGCGCCTCCAGTGGCTTCTTTTGCCACAATGGTAACAAACAGCCACAACGACTTTCTTCTTCTTCTGGACTCCCGCTTTAGGCTTCGGCGTAGAGGCTTGGGGTTCTTGGACCCCTTGCCTCTTTTCCCGGCTAGTGGACGTGACCCACCTTTCTCTGCCAATGCACCGTCCTCCACCATTAGGACGTGCTTTGCCTTTCCTCTCCCAAGACTCTCCTCAGTGGTGGTAAGGAATTTCAACAGCTCAGCTAAGGTCATGTCGAGTTTGTTCATATAGAAATTCACGATAGTTTGACCATACTCTGGTGGCAATGCTCCCAATATGAGATCAATTGCAAGCACTGGGTGCAAGGGGGCCTCCAATTTTTCAAGCATTTCAATCAGGCCGATTAGATTGAGAAGAACAAGCCAACTGGAGATCCCGGTGCTAGCTTGTTGGAAAACAGAGTCTTAGAGATCTTGAAGCGTTCATGCCTAGCCTGACCTTGGTAAAGGTCTCTCAAGCGCTGCATCATGGGGCACACTTCCATGTTCTTGTGGAGAAAGCTCCGGGATCATGCTGGCTAGGATGCACTTCACGTCGCGCTTGTCGTCCTCGTACTTCTGGGAAGAAGCGAGTTTGGCAGCGCGTGCGTTGGCCGCGGGTGCATTTGGAGTCTCTTTATCAAGGATATAGAGCTTCCTCTCTAGTTCAAGAACGATTCGGAGAATTAACGCCCAGTCAATAAAGTTTTCCCCTGAGAGCTTTTGGCTCTCGAGGATATAGCGCAGGTTGATGGAATGACCGTTCGTGTTGTTCGATGCCATCTACAGAATGAAATTGCAAACTAGGTTATCTATCATGTTGAATAATTAATTAGGCCTTTAATTAATTATTTACCACTATTTTAAGAAACCAACAACCCTCAATGTTGATTCGGAGATTCTCCTAGAGATTCTCTTAGTGGGCCAAGATCCATATTTTATTAAATTCGAGTTGACTTGAGGTTCGTACCTAGAATTTAACTATTTAGGTAGGAACATAATTCCAATTGTCGAGTCGCGCTCACAGTTCTTAGTCTTGTTTTGGGCGAATGACAATACTACTAATGGACTAGAACACCGTTTCATCGTACATGTGATTGGCTTTGGCATGTACCACATGCGCAACTACTTTAGTTAGGGAAAAGCCCAATTAAGTCATAGAGACCCAACTTCTAGCTAGATGAGTGAGTAAAGTAATTCGACTTGTCAGTTTAGTGACCCCAATAAACACCGCCTCTGAGTCATCCATCCATTTGACCGAGACTCAGTTATGTCTAACCCAACGTCTCACAATGACCACTTTAGTGATTCCCGTGACTAGCATAACATACAACGTACAACGCTGAGTATGTGATAGTGCACATTAGCTAGAAAGGTGTTGGGCGCTAGAAGGCATACAGACTTAATATTCAAGAGGGATTTAATTTTAATTACGATCTCAACTACGACACATGCCGCGCACGTGTCAATTTACTAGCGTTAAACACACATTCACATGCATTCAAAACACGTAGTAAATAAACGTGCAATGATTGTGGCCCCTAAAGGAAAAATAAAACGATAGCTCCCACTGACTTCCAGGCACTTGGACTTCGCGCTGTCTCCATTCTTTTAGATTCCCTCGAACGGACTTCAAATCTTTTCGTCTTCTAACCACCACGTGAGGAAAGACTCCTCGGTTGAGGTAAGTGATAGAGAATTTTGGTTTGACTCAAAATCCCGTAGTAGTATAGGGAGTAAACAAGATCTCAAGAGATCAGTTTATCCTCGTGTCGTCTCAAGGATCGGCTCAAGGGAAAGCTTAGCAAGACTAGCTAGACAAGATTTACTTTTTGAATAATAAAAGTTTTCAAGAATTCAATAAACAAGTGGAATTTGGCTTTAACTTTTGAGGATTAAAAGATGGGGATGTAATTATTGTTCGGGTGATGGCTCTTTAAGGTTATAATTATTAGTTGAATTTACTTTTACCTTGAATCTTTTTACTAGTAAGTAAATAGTCTTTTAAATATTTACTTAATAATCAATCCTATGACTAGAGATTAATTATCAGTATTAAAGGAATTGACTTAATTAAATTCTAGATTTCTCAAATAATATAATTTTCAAAGATAGATTTGTATTCCCTCGATATACAAATCTCAATTAAAGTTCACAATAATAAAAACTAGTAATTTATTTTAAATAAAAATTCAAATTTAATAATATAACTCAAAAGTTACCATCACCCTACCCAAAAATCACATCCCTCATTAATTTAACTACTCATAACAAAAGATCTCATCATGCATTCCTAATAGGGAGACATAATTCAATTTATAAATAAAAATAGAAAACTTACTTCAACAGATCTGAAGAACTAAAGGTCCGGGCTACAAATTGCTCAGTGAAAACTCCGAAAAATGATACTAAACTAAAATATTGAAGTAAATTTCGAAATCTAGTGCTAAAGAGGTAATACTCAAACTTTGAGGGTGAAGGAGGCGTAAAACGGCGTGTAGAAAATGGAAGTGGGGCGCTGCTTAAATAGGGCTGGACGCGAAGCGTCCAACCCATACCGTCTAGATCCAAAGCGTGCAACTTTGGATGCTTTACGTGTCCCGTCCACTCGACACATGCCACGTGGCATTCTTGTAGCGCAATCCTCGCCAAGCGTCCATGGCAAAGCGTCCAACCCGCAAAGCGTCCATTGGTCGGACCCCTCAGGCCCTTCTCCTGTGGGCTTTTCCGTGGCTTGGTCCAATTCGGGCCCAATTTCCATTTCCAACTGTTTTCACAAATTATTTCTACTTCCCCCGAGATTCTCATGATAAAATTCTCAATTTAAAAACTTCTTTTTCTCATAAATATTAATAGAAAAATTGAAAATCTAAACTGGATAATTTTTAAACTAATTATTATTCCTTAAAGAACAAACCAACAAATATTGTTCAGTTTATCATAGAATTATGAACTATTTATCACTATTTTCGTGCAATAACGCTTAAAATATGTTGAATAAAATAAGAACAAAATGCACTTATCAAATTCCTCACACTTAAACGTTGCTTGCACTCAAGCAACAAGTTTGAACAATTGAAGATATGAAATTTCCTTAACATTGCTGAAAAGAGCTTTAATTGCATAGACATGAGGCAAATTTGACTAACATAATCATCATTCCTTGTTAACTAGTTAAATTTTTATATTTGTCTCCCATTCCACTACTTTTTATCAAACATGTATTTTTACTTGATTAAATCAAATAGAGATAAACCATTACTGAAATGACAGTATTTTCTAAAAGAATTTATTAAGACCAAAAAGATTTAGCTGTTTCTTATAAAACAAATTATCAACGAATAATTGCCAAAACATAAAGGTCTTAATATAATAATTTCTATTTGTATCACTTCTCGATGAGAGAATTTCTCATTTCACGGAAACATGTTTATTTTATTAAGATTGTGGATTTATTCTGCATGCGTACTTTCTTCCTCGCCTTGTATGATTAATGGAGGAAGCAGAGCCCCAAAGTGGGGGTAGAATTTCCAATTCGTCACTTAAGCGCAATCATAACAAAAATCACATTTGCACCCCGAAGGCTTGAAAAAAATAAAAATATTTGGAAAAATATTCTGAACACGTTGTTAGATTCCATTTATTCTTTTTCAAGCCCAAAAATGCAATCGGTTTCAAAATCAGACTCCATTTCAAAATAACCGGATATTTAAACACATAAAATATTTCTTCTAGAACTTGGATTTCATCCCAAAACAGAAAATATTCTCTTCAAATCAGGATTTATCATGCATAATCTTTGGTCATTCAATGATATTTCTCCATCACCCTCATGTCTAGCTAACATCCAACATCACCACCTTCCTCCTTTCCTTTCTTGTGATGAATGATAATGTTGGAGTGAGGAGACTTGATGTAACACCCCAACCCGTGTAACCCGAATAAATATGTTAGCAAACGGGTTTGCTACTAGATCGGTATCCACATACAATATTTTTCAGGAAATAAAAACATTTAATTTAAAACCATTGAAATACATATCGTAGTTTATACAAACAGTGCGGAAGCTTTATAATTTAATCAAACATTTTTAAATCTCTGCATTCTTACATCTCCTCCGTCATGCTGCCCTCCAGGATGTATTCCAAGGTCAGCCCCTTTATGTTACATACGTGTAACTATAACACCCCAACTTAGGGGTGGGCACGGGCCGGTCTGAGCCAAGATTTATATAAACTGGACTCGGCTTGTGTTTATTAAAACGGTCCGGGCAAGAACGGGTCTTCAAAATTTAAAAATTGAAACCGGACCAAACCCGGCTTGTTTGAAACGGGCCGATTCCACGAGTCGACGGGTTCGATCCTATCATGATACTAATATTAAAAAAATAAAGTGATAATAAATTAATAATACTTACATAGTCATTCAAGTTGGACGGACAGGCGGAGTGGTTAGCGCTTAGATATTCATATAAGAGGTTTTGTGTTCGAGCCTCCATGTAGAGACCAATATTTTAGTGGGATTCAACTGGGATGTTGTTGTTGTTGTTGTATAGTCATTCACCATTAGTCCACAACAATGTACTACCCTCATTGTCAATCAAGTCATCCAACAAAAAAAAGAGGTCTAAATGAAGAAAAAACAATTACAAAGCAGGGTAAGGGCGTAACTTGTAAGGGCATTGTACCTGGTGTAGTTACTACTAATAATACGGAGTATTAAAAAGCGGTCCGGTTCGGGTCCTGGATAATTTCAAAATGGAGAACCAGACCAAACCTGAAACCTATAAGGACGTGACCGACCTGTTATAAATATTTGAAAAGAGGACCCGCCCCTAACCCAGACCGAACCTGTCGGTTCAGTTCCGACTCCCGGTTCCTTGACCTATTTGCCCACCCCTACCCCAACTCGCGTAACCCAAACCAAGGAGTTAACGAACTGGGTTGCTACTAAATTTGTATTCACGGCACAACAATTTAGAAAAATTATTCAAAAACATCCAAATACCAAATTAAATACGAAACATGCAGAGTAAAGTCCATCATGTGCGGAAGCCTTAGAATATCGTTCTACAATTAATGTTTAAACCAATTAATCAATAAACACAATAAATAAATGTTCATATTAAAAATGGTGACGTCATCCACTGCGTCACGTATCAACGTCCTCCAGGCTGGCCCTCATGATCCAAATCTCTACCTGCGTGGGTCAAAGACAACAAGACCACACGTTGAGCTGAAAGCTGAGTGAGAAAAATATCTAATGCTAGAATTAATTTCACAGATAGTATCTCATTTATATAATCAAGCAACATCAATGAACAATCAACAATTATTTTCAGATACAAGAATCCAACAGTTCCAATTCATTTATTCACAATGGCTAATACTGCACCTACACCACTAAGGTTTAATTCAACAGACTAGAGTTATGAACAATCGCGAGAATCCCTCGAGGCACATGCTCGGACAAATCCTAAGAGAATCCACAATGGGCAGGTTAGAGTGCCTAACAAGGAATCCCTTAGGTAGAACAGTGACTCCCGTACGTACATTTTGAACCCTGGACTAGGGGTGAGAAAGTAGCGAACCGATACCGAAATTTCCCGAAAAAACCGAGAATTCCGAACTGAAAAATACCGAACCAAAAAAGTACCGAGAAGGAACCGAACCGTACCGAACCAAATGGTCGGTACGGTATTTGGGAACGGTACGATGTGACGTTCCATAACGAAAATCCCGAACCGAACATATATACTAAAATATTATAAAAAAATAATACCCCGGAGTAATATTTTTATATTCCTTCACTAAATAATCATTTTATTAAAAAAATCAGTTGAAGTTCTAATATAGGTAAATTATACTTTTATTTGAGTTTTACATTTTGTGTATGAACATAAAAATATTCACAAAGATTCGAAATACTTCTTTGTTGTCGTTCCTTTTTTTAGTTTGTGAAATATAAACTAAGTTTTGATACGCATCTCTTGCATTTAAATATTGATTTTTTTTTTAATTTTTCATGTTTTTTTATTTAAATTTACTTTTAATTTTCAAAAATAAAGGGGCATTGTTAAATTTTAATGTGTAAACTAGGTATGTGTATTCATCCCGATTTGTACCGAAACCAATACCGAACCATCCTGAACCGTACCGAACCGATATTTCGGGATCGGGATCGGTACGGAGTAAAATCCCATATATAACCGAAATATTTGGTACGGTATCTATACGAGCTAAATACCGTACCATGCTCACCCCTACCCTAGACCACTAGATATGCAAACATGCTCCACAAGGCTCGAACCTAACAATAGTCCTGTGGGTGATTAAACCCATCCAATTCAATTCAGATCTGCCTAGGTATACTAGTGGCCAATTTCTATCAGAGTTCTCAAATGATAACAAGCACTTAAACATTTCCATAAAAAGAACAACACACTCAGAGGCCTATCAAGAAAATCACTTCTCGCCGATTACCGTTATTCTCAAACAACAAGATTAAGCCCTATAATATTTAAAAAACTTACCCTGTGTCGTGAACTCGAGACCAAGGACTTCATCCTCAGGCCCGTTGCACCCGCCGGAACAGTACCATTTACTACCAGATCAGCCCGACAACCCGCCCGACCGACCCAGAAGCCCCAACACGCTACCCGCTCGGGCAGCCCCTCATTGTCGGCCCAACGCAGCCGGCCTAATGGCCCAAACCAGCCGGCCCAGGAGCCCAGACAGTCGGACAGCCCTAATTGAACCCGAAACCACCCCAATTGGACCAACACCAACCCGATTGCACAAGAACTAACCTAATTGGACCCTAATTGACACACCTGAACCAATTGGGATATATATATATATATATATACACACACACACACACACACACACACACACACATCCATATATATATATATATACATATATATATATCTATATATATACATACATACATACATACATACATATATATATATATATATATACATACATATATATATATATACATATATATATATATATATATATATATATATATATATATATATCTATATATATCTATATATATATGTGTGTGTGTGTGTGTGTGTGTGTATATATATATATATGTTTTTTTTAAAGAAGGTTTTATTAATGGAGAGAGAACAAGGAATTACAACATAATTCAGCCCAAGAAAATACAAAAGGAAGAGGGAATTTAAACATTAAACGGGAGGGAGGATTTTAAATTCTTCCCCTTGCGCCAGAAGTGGTCCAAACCTCAACCTTGGAAGTCTTGATCGTAGATAATCCACTTGCGATTTCTGTTAATCCAGCACCAGCTTTGGATCAGCTGGAAGCTCTGCTGCATAACCGAGATCTGGGAGATGAGTTTCTCTTCATAGAGGGAGGTGTTCCTTGCTTTCCAAAGTGACCAAGTGATGATCGCTGGTATGATCAGCCTGAGGATTCCTTTGAAGGATTTCTGATTTCCTGTAAACCACCATGACAGAAGGTATTGGCGAAGGGTAATGGGTGACCTTATTAAGGGGCCATTAACCAACCTAGCAAAGAAGTTCCAAATTGCTCTACTGAATTCGCAACTGAGTAGAGAATGGTCAAGAGTGTCCTCGTGGCTTTTACAAAAGATACAAATGCTTGGAAGATGAAAGTTAAACCTGTGGAGATTTCTGGGAAATGGGAGGCAGTTGTAAAGAGCTTTCCACATGAAAGTTCTGAGTTTTGGGATCTGTGATTTGTGCCATATGTACCTGGCCGTCAATAGTTCTGTCCGACCCCCAATAAGAGTT